GCTGGAGTACAATGGCGCGATCTCGGCTCACCGCAACCTCCGCCTCCTGGGTTCAGGCAATTCTCCTGCCTCAGCCTCCTGAGTAGCTGGGATTACAGGCACGCACCACCATGCCCAGCTAATTTTTTGTATTTTTAGTAGAGACGGGGTTTCACCATGTTGACCAGGATGGTCTCGATCTCTTGACCTCGTGATCCACCCGCCTCGGCCTCCCAAAGTGCTGGGATTACAGGCTTGAGCCACCGCGCCCGGCCTTCTAATAACTTTTAATATATTCTTTGGGATTTTCTACATGGATAATCTCTCATTTTAGAATAGACAGAATTTTATTTCTTCTCTTCCAATATGTTTTTTGTTTTTTTTTTTGCCCTATTTTACTGGTAGGACCTCTAATATGATTCCAGTGTGATAGGAGTTGTAAGAGACGACATCCTTGCCTTGTTTCCAGTTTTAGGGAAAAAACATTTGGTGTTTTATGTAGGTGCCCTTCATCAGGTGGAAGAAATTTCCCTCATTACAAGTTTGCTGAGTTTTTATCATTGGTGTCAAATCTTATTAAATGATTTTCTGCAAAAATAAAAATAAAAAAATAAAAAATAATTTAAAAATGATTTTCTGCATCTATTGAGATGATTATAAGGGTTTTCTTATAATTTTCTGTTGATGTGATAAATTACATTGATTCATTTTTGAATTTTGAACCAGTCTTAGAATCCTAGGACAAACAACACTTGGCCATGATGTATTATCTTATTTATATATTCCTGGATTCATTTGGCTAGTAGGTTTCCTAGGTTGTCAATCTGGAGATTTATTTTCTTTTCTTGTAGTGTCTTTATCTCGTTTTGTATCTGAGTAAGGTTATCATTATAAAATGAGTTGGGATGAGTTCCTTGTTTTCCTATATTCCAGAAGAGTTTTTGTAGAATTGGTGTCAACTTTTTATTAAATATTTTGTGGGATTCACCAGTGAAGATACCTGGGCTTGGAGTTTTCTTTGTGGAAGGATTTTAAATACACATTCATTATCCCTTAAAAGATTTAGGAATATTCAAGTTTCTGTTTCTTCTAAAGTGTTTTGGCAATTTGTGTCTTTCAAAGAAAGTGTCCATTTCATATAAGTTGTTGAATTTGTGGACCCAGAGTTGTTTGTGATATTTCCTTCCTATCCTTAGAATATCGAAAGTGTCTGTAGTGGTGTTCACTATTTTATCTCTAACATGAGTTACTTGTATTTTTAAAAATTCTGTATTAGTCTTGCAGAGGTTCATCAGTTTTTATGTTTCAAAGAGACACCTTTTGATTTTATTAATTGTGAATACTGTTTTTCTGTTTCTAATTTCATCAATTGCCACTCTTTATCTTATCCTTCTACTTGCATTGGGTTTAATCTGCTTCTTTTTTTTTTCTAGTTTGTTGAGAATCTTTAGATCAGGGGTCAGCAAACTACTGACCCCTGATCCTGCCTACTGCCTATTTTTGTAAATAAAATGTTATTGGAACACAATCATGCTCATTTATTTATGTGTCTTCTATGGCTGCTTTTATGCTACAGCAGTATAGTTGAAGTAACAGATATCATATAACATACAAAGCCCCAAATATTTGACCCTTTACAACTATCTGACCCTTTACAAACTCTTTACTATCTGCCAAACCCTGCTTCATATACAGCAGATCCTCCAATAACCTCATTTCATCAAACATAATTTTATTATAATATTGATGAGGAAAGAAAGTCAATTCCTAGCCAGGGCCACTGTCTATATGGAATACACATGTTTTCCCTATGTCTGCGTGGGTTTTCTCTGAGTACTCTAGTTTCTCACACAGCCAGAGATGTGCATTTGGGCTAATTGGCGTGTTTAAAGTGTCCCCATATAACGAGCATGAGCGTGTGTGTAAATGCACCTTGTGATTAAATGGCTTACAATCTAGGGTTGGTTCCCGCCTTGTTTGTGAGCTGCTGGAGTAGGCTTCCATGACTGAACTGAAATAAGCAGACTAGAAGATGAATGAATGAATAATTATAAATTATTATAAATAAAAATTTATAAAGTATACAATAATCATACAAACAAATGCATGACAGTAAATGATGCAGTACAAAAGCCCTCACTAAGCCTGCCATGTGTGTTATTATTTTTAAACTGCATATGGTAGAGGATGCTCCTTACAGAAGTTGCTTTACAAACATTTATTCCTTGGTTTAACCCACCACTGCCATGACCACCAACACTTACTTATTCACCAAAAATTGAGTAAATAATTATCTTACTTGTTTTTGTTAATCTTTTTAAAATCAATGCATAGCTCACATTTATTTCAATGTTTAATATTAGAATTTGGCATCTTTATTAAGAAGTTTGGTGATGTTTTTGTGACCAGACATATGCCATAGAGACTTAATTCTTGTTTATCTCAATTTGCCTATGGTAAAGTTGGTTCTATTATACATTGTTTTGCTTAAAGTCCTAGTTTCCAAGAATGTATTGACGATGTTAAGTGAGAACTTACTGTAATTGATTTGGGATTTTTTCTTTCTAATACAAGTATTTTACTGCTATATATTTCTCTCTAAGCATTACTTTATCTGCATCTGATAAATTGTGATGTTGCGTTTTCATTTTCTTTCCATTAAAAATATTTTCTAATTCCCCACAGCACTTTCTCCTTGACGTATGCTTCTTAGAATTGTATTGTAAAATGTTCAAATATTGGAAAATTTTCCAGCTCTCTTTCTGTTACTGATTTTTCTAGCTTATTCCATTATGTTTAGAGGGTGTATTTCATGTGATAGCAATTCTCTTTAACTTATTAAAATGTGTTTTATGGCTTATTTAGTAAATGTCCCATATACACTTGAAATAACTTTTGATTTACGTATTTCGAAGCTCTGTTGTTAGCATGTCTATACTTAGGGTTGTCATGCCTTTATCATATGTACTGATGCTCTTTATTCCTGATATTGCATCGATCTGAAATCTCCTTTGTCAGGTATTGATATAGCTGCTACAGCTCTCTTTTCATTAGTGTTATGTATTTTTTCATCCTTTCGTTTCAAGACAACTTTTGGAGGTTGCAGTGAGCTGAGATTGTGCCACTACATTCCAGTCTGGGAGACAGAGACTCCGTCTCGAAATAAAAATAAAATAAAATAAAAACAAAATAAAATCAGTGAGTAAGATCTAACCCAAAAGTACCCACACCTCATGATGAAAATATAATCATGTGGGAGAAGACAAAAGTCTAAGAGAGCGGAGGAGAGATGCACATGAGGAAAGAAGGACCCTGGGACTGAATTATCAAGATGGACTCAGCTGATGTCTTTAAGTTCCACATACTCTGAGCCCCTAATCAGTGGTTTGAGACAGCATCATATTTGGTCACAGTAGGTATATGCTATGTCTGGAACGAGAAGAAAGTTCAGAATCCTATGGAGACTGTAGACCCTCAACTCTATAATAATGAGGTGGAGGGTACGAGGATGCTAGAGCTCTAGGGAAGCTCTTTTCTTTGTGTCACTAACCACACTGCAGTAAGACATGACAAAAAATTATTCAGGTTACTAGTTTAATGGAAGGGCCAGAGTAGCTACAGGAAAGACTCCATGAAAACATCCAGCTGACATGGAGAAAATAAACATTCAACCACTGGAGTAGTTATGATGCCATGCTCAAGAATTGGTAGAAGAAAGTCATTCTCTCTGAGTGACTTGTAAAAGACAATCTTTTTTCACATAGAGGACTAGAAAGTTCTATCAGTATCGATCCTATTCCATCATGTAGTATTAGGGCTCCTTAAAAATATATAGCACGCCAATGAAAAAATGGTGAATCATAACCGAATCCAGTCAAAGGGACAACTCTTATGGGCTACAGGCTATGTCTATTAGAAGTTGAATACATATAGTTTTAAAAAGATACATTTTCAAAGTGAGACATCATCACTTAGGTCACTTATCTTAATGAATAAATCTTTTTTTAAAATTCAAATAACAACAATTTTAACAGCCAACTATCTCTATTTTCTGTCTTTATGGAGTGCTACTGTTGTTCTCACTGAATTCTTGAATTACACGTAAAACAGATGTATAGGCACATAAACTACTTGAATAGGTTTGTCTGGAGCTTTGGCATTGAACTTCCAACTCTGTAGCTACCAGTTAATACTATTCACATAGCCTCTTGGCTGTTTCATATACATTGTTCTCTACATTAGCCACATTGTAGGTGAGATCAATATTTCTGATGTGTTTAGAATGAGCAGTGATGGCATCACCATCAAAGAGAAGTGCATGCTAGTTAATAGTGTGTGGGAAGAAATGGAGTTGGGTTAAAACCATTCTGGAAGACACTGGTTGCACTGCTAATAAAAGAATCAAATGCATAATTTTTTCTTATATTTAATCATTCCATGTACTATTACAGAAACCACATTTTCTGGCTTTCATCAGTACTTACTGAAAGTTACCTAAAACCTGTGGATCTTCGGGGCTCTTATTTTTATATTCTAAAACTTCAAGAAAGTTCTGCATATACAAACTTTGAACCAGTCCCACTAAAGGCCTGTTAAACCACTTATCCAGCAGAAAATTGGCTTCATTCACTGTGTTAGCTAGTAGCACAGGAATCTCCTTTTGTAAAATCATATGATGTTCTCTCAAACCATTATCTCTCCCAAAGTCCAGG